AGCACCTGAAGGAAGCCCCCTTTCTAGATTAGTAGAACTTGATTTTTGTTGGGTGCACCCTAAGGATACACAATTATGTACCCTTTGGCAGTTTTGTTAGCACCTTTATATTTACTTTCTCAGTTTTTCCGTAGAACAGTGCTGTGATGTCTCAATAAGGCAGATTCTGTTGTTTTATTATCCAGATGGGAAACTGAGTCACTGCATGAGTCACTGCATGATCGGATGGCTTCTCAACAGCTTCAGAATTTTAAAATGCAAATCCATTAGTCTATTGGTAATTCTCATTCTAAGAAATCATCTCCACTATGCCATCTTCCCAGTACTAAGTTGGAAGAGACACAATATTCATCCATACTGAAGATTGTAAAAATGCTCATGAGAACATACCTAACTAAACCCAAGCTTCTTGCACTCGGTTTTGGTCTACTCTACTATGCATCCAAAAAGACAGCACTTTTCTGCAGCAAGCATTAAAAACAGTGCACTCTCTGCCAGCGATTTTAATTCTGTGAACTACTTGTCTTCATCTGGGAGACACATTCATATACCAGAGGGCCACTCAGGTGTCCAGTTTAATATTATTTCCCTCCTGAGCACTTACTCTTTTATTTTTAAGTAATCTCAACACCCAGCATGGGGCCTAGACTCACAGCCCTGAGATCAAGAGTCCACTCTCTACCGACTTTGCCAGCCCAGCACCCCCTGAGCACTGACTCTTGATTTTCCTGGTTGGGTTTCAAACTGGAAATGCTGTTTTTGCCTACAATGTCTTCAACCTGTGATCCCACATCCAGAATTCTATATATTATGACCTTCCTAAAGGCATCAACCTCGATGGCTCTCTTGAGTTATTATTCTCTTTCTGCCTGCACTCTACTACTTTTTAAATTTTTATCTACTTATTTCTGCTCACCTTGACTCTTTAAAAATAAACTTTATTTTAGAAGAGTTTCTGATTTACAGTAAAATGGCAGTGACAATATGGAAAGTTCTCATATATCCCACACTCAGTTTCCACTATTATTAACATCAAGCACTAATATAGTACATTTCTCACAGCTAATGAGCCAATAATGATTATATTAAGTAGACTCCATTTTTAAAAATATTTTATACATTTATTTGAGATAGCAAAAGAGAAAGCATGAGCTGGGGGCAGAGGAAGAGGGAGAAGCAGGCTCCCCACTAAGCAGGGAGCATGTGGGACTCCACCCCAGGACCCTGGGATCATGACCTAAGCTGAAGGCAGATACTCAACCACTGAGCTACCCAGGCACCCCAAGTAGATTCCATTTCTTGACAGGGAGTGGCAAAATACTAGAACATGTATGTTGAGAGATATCATTGTGATATTTTAAAAAAAAAACAATCTGCATGGTGAGGAATAAGCAAAAATCAACCTTTTGCTTTTCTCTACGACCCTTTCAAAACTGTGTAAACTCATTCTTCCTTGGATCCTGAATAAAATTTCATTCCAACACTATGCTGTTATAGGTTGCATTTACTTTTATTTTGTGGCTCTCTCTGCAAAATTCAGGTAGCTACAGGACTTAAATAGAAGTGGTATATGTCACTTCAGGGCAGAAACTTTAACAGCCAGCATGGGATCCATCATGTTTTCTGTTCCCCCTATCATAATGGCAAGCAGTGTCCCAGACAATAGCTCCTTCTTGTTGGGGTCCCAGAGAGAGCCACAGCCACAGCCGGGTTGCAGTGGACGTGCCCTAGCATCCTGCTTTAGGATTTAAGGGGCCCATGGCACGAGTTATGGTTCTGCACTGCTGAGCCTTTCCCAAACAAGTCGTTGGCTTTTTTGAAAGAAAGTCATGTCCTAGCATCTCGTTTCTACTGTCATCTTTAAAGCTTTCTGCTTTAAGTGTATGGAAATATTTTATAAAATGTTGACCTGCAAGGTTGTTTTGAAAATCAATAATATATAGAAAGGAGAGTATTTATGTAGATCTAGGACCAAAACTGTATGTGGCATTCCACAAATCATTTTTGTGTTGCTTCTTTTTCTGGCAAGTGCAAGTGCTCTATTTTAAAGAGGTGTTAAGAAAAACTGTGTACAAAATATATAAATCAACACAATTTGGGGGACCATTTTTGGCTGCCTTGATTCAGATGCAACTATTTTAAAATATCTTTTTCATCACTTCATTCTATTACCTTCAAAAGCTAAGGGATGCATGTGTAACCAAGAGGTTGAGTAAATGGCAGAGTTATGGCTCAGTCTCAGTCCTTCTGCTTACTGCCCTATGTAGTTGTTTTTTTTTTTCTGTATCATTCTATGTAACAGTAGGATAAATTGAAGGATAAAGGAAGTTGTGTCTTACCTAAAGTCACTGAGTGTCTTTAGATTTGAAACTACAAGGAAAACACTTCCTGCCTCCCCTTCCTTCTCATTATTCTCATTAAACTCTACACAGAAAGAACCACAGACTGTCATCTTTTGTTTCTCTATTGTAGGTCCCTTCTTAATGGAAACTAATGTTTTGCTCATGTGTTAGCAGCAGAAAAGAATAAAACCACGTAAGTCCTTACATACTGCTCACAGGCGGGGATACAACCAGCATGCCCCCACTGGGTCATTGGAATGCTCCATTAGACCACAGAGGTGTGGTGGTGGCAGCAGGTACTCATCAAAGAAGAAAATGGTATCCACGACTCCAGAAGCCATCATCTCTTTAATATCACTTATAAGCATAGATTACGGCCCTATTCTGTGTTCCTAAAGTTCTTGTAAATGCAAACATGCCCCATGAATTCTCCCCTCCAGACTGTAAGATTCATGGACACAGGAGTCATGCCTGCCTTTTATATCCCCAAACCCAGCACGGTTCCTGGTGTATTTTAAGTGATTTAACAATCAAGTATTAAGTAGGTAAGTATTGAGTTAGTAAGTAGGTTAAGTATTGAGTAGGTAGTAAACTGAATGAGTGAGTCCCATACATAGACTCAGGCTTTCACTTATTTCTTTCCAGGGAATTCCATAGAGACAAGGGAGGTCCTATCTAGTCGGATCTGCAGGTGTGGTGGGCTCTTCTTGCTTAGGTTTAGAAGGTGTAGTTGTCATTGACGTGTAAGAGGAGTCGTTCCTCTTCTTCTTCAAAGAACACTTAATGGAGAAAAGACAGTCTTTTCAGTAAATGGTGCTGGGATAACTGGATATTCACGTGGAAAAGAATGAAACTGGATCCTGATCTCACACCACTCACAAAAATTAACTCAAAATTCATTAATGACTTAAATGCAAGACCTGAGGTCTTGAAACTCCTAGAGGAAAACATAGGAACAAAGCTCCTTGATATGGTCTTTGTGATTATTTTTGGTTGTAACACTGAAATCATAAGCAACAAGATAAAAAAATAAGCAAGTGGGCCTACATCCTACTAAGAAACTAAGAAAGTGAAAGGATGACCTACGGTATGGAGAAAAAAATGCAAACCATATGCCTGATAAGAGGTTCATATCCAAGACACATACAGAACTCCTACAGCTCAACAGCAAGGAAACAGCCCAATTAAAACATGGGCAAGGGACTGAATAGACATTTCTCTGAATATATATGAAGGGCCAACAGGTACATGGAAACATGTTTTGTGTCACTAGTCATTAGGGAAACGCATATTGAAACCACAGCGACTTATTACCCTATACTTGCTTGTTAGAATGGCCTTTGTCAAAAAGGTGGGACAGTAAGTGCTGGCATGGGCAGAGGAAAGGCAATCCCCGAGCACGGTCGGTGGGTTGTAAACTGGTGCAGCCACCATGGAAAAAAATATAGAGGATCCCCACAAAATTACACTTGTGGGAATACAGTTGACCTTTGAATAACACGGGTGTTAGAAGCAGCAGCACTCCCATGCTCGGCTGAAAATCTCCTTAAAACCTTGGGTCCTGAAGACGTTGCTGCTCACAGCCTGCCGCTCACCAGAAGCCTTACGGTAACGTCAGGTCAGCAGTCCGTTAACACGTACGTCTCATGTCTCATACCCTGCACTCTTACAGCTGGAGGAAACGAGAAGTTACCAAGAATCGTAAGGAGGGAGACCCGGGGGGCTCGGGTCATGATCTCGGGGTCTTGGAATCAAGTCCCACAGGAGGCTCCCGACCCAGCGGGGACTCTGCCCCTCCCCCTGCTCCTGCTCGCTCTCCCGCACTCTCTGTCAAATAAATAAGATATTTTAAAAAAAGAGAAAACAAACCCATCAGGAAACCGCATTTACAGCAGGGAAACAGCGGAGCCGCACAGTCCCGGCCTGTGCGTTCCCAGGGTCACAAGAAACCCTGCCTCGGCGAGACCCCTGCACCCGGTGCATGAGCATGGCTCACAGCAGGCGGGCCCGCAAACGAGGTGGACGTCTCTCCGCAGGAGAGTGGATAACGACAGACGTGTGTGTCACAACGCTACACTACTCAGCCCAAAACAAGAGAAGCCCCAGCGCTTGCGACAACACGGGTGCACCTGGAAGACACGGGGCTGTGACCAACCACCGCACGACCGCAGCGGAGAGGGCGGGAAGCGAGAGAGAGCGAGAGTGCGCGCCCAAGTCCCCGCACGGCGCCGGCCCGCAGGAGGCCCGCAGGAGGCCCGCAGGAGGCCCGCAGGAGGCCCGCAGGAGGCCCGCAGGAGGACCCCGCGAGGAAGCAGCACACCTGCGGCGTGGACTGCAGGCCCACGGCGCCGGCTTTCTCCGGGGGACACCGCCGGCGGAGACGGCTCCCAGGAGGCTCTGGGAGGGGCCCTGTCGCCAGCTCAGGCCAGGCCAGCCGCGGGCGGAGCCAGCACTCCGGGAGCGGCCGGCAGCCGCGGGCGGCACAGCACCAGGCCACCAGAGCGCAGGGGAACTCCGTGGGAAACGCGAGGACACCCCGACCACCCGGCTAGCGCTGGCCACGCCCCCGCCGCGCACGCCCCCGCCCCCGGCGCGCACGGCCACGCCCCCGGCGGCAGCGGCGTGCTGGCGTCACTTCCGGCACGCAGAGGTCCGCTTCCGGGTCAGAGCGCGGCTCTCGCCCTCCGAGTGTGTGAGTGGTGGCGGTGCCGCGCTGTCCGCGTTCTCTCTCCTCCGTGCGAGGCCGCCGCAGTGTCCACTGGCGGAGAGAGCCCCCGGCCTCGAGCGGAGGAGGGCGGGCGGGGGATCCGCGAGCGGGCTGCGGCCGGGCTGGGCCGCTGCACTGCGGGCTGGCGGCTTTGCGTGTCCGCCTGCTGCTGTGTGTGGGAGCCGGCGGACAGCGACCCCCTGCCCCGGCTCCCCTGGTCGCCCTGCCGGGGAGGGCGGAAGATGCCGGTGAAGAAGAAGAGAAAATCTCCTGGGGTGGCAGCGGCAGTGGCGGAAGACGGAGGCCTCAAGAAGTGTAAAATCTCCAGGTATCGCCTCGCCTCGCCTCCCCTCCCCTCCCCTCCCCTCCCCTCCCCTCCCCCGCCCCAGCCCCTTCCGTCTTCCTTCTGCTGGGCGGCAAGAGGACACGCCGGCGGGCCGGGGCTCAGGGGGTTCGGGGCTCGGGCTGGGGAGACGAGCCCCCGCCGGGGGAGCCTGCTGCCCGGCGCGGGACCCCGCGAGGCTGTGCTCCCGACTGCGCCTCGTGCTCGGCGTGCGCGCCCCGGGAGGGGCTGTGGGATCCGCCTGGGCTGGGGCGGTGCGCGCCCCGGGGGCCCGGGGGAGAGCCGGGACTGTGCCCTCGCCTCTCTGCCCCCCGCCCTCCTGCTCCTCGCCCACCTGCATCCCTGAATCCCCACTCCCACCTGCTTCCAGACCTGGAACGGAGTCCCAAGTCCGAAGGAGTCGCTTAGACAATTTCTCTGTAGCGAGTGAGGAAGGGAAAGGAGCTGGGGTCACGGGGACCTGACGACCTGGGGTGGGGGGGATAGAAAGCGGAGCTCCCTGTGCTGGAATCGGCCTCCCCACTGAGGATTCGGAAGATCCCGGCTGGAACTACAGTGCCTCCACCTGCGCCAAGTCGCGTACGTGCAGAGTGGGAAAGGCCGCGCTTGCGGTTTTGTTCTCAGGCATTCAAGATGCTCTTAGCTCTCGGTATAAATATTAATAATTTGGTAGTTATTTTACTCAGTGTCCTCTTGGAGAGAGAGAAGATGAAGCAGAGCTGTAATTATAGCTCTTTGATCCCGTTGTAGCGTGCCATTGAGGCACCACAGCAACGTTGTGTGCTGCACAAAATCACTGCAATTTGGGTGTGAGAAGTGGCTCCTTTGTAAATCTCCCTGGGTGTCTGACGGTATCACTGGTTGGCACTTGATGTAACAACCTCAGATGCTACCATTACAAGAGGACTGTAGTCAGCGTTATAAAGACGAGGTAATGACAGAGCTCTGCTAGAGAGATCTGCTTGCAAGTCAGGTAGGTACCTTATAGCCCGCATCCTCCCTTTGCAGTTGACTGAATCTTTCGCTTTATTACTGAGGATATTTGGGGCTGTTGGTGTGAGACACAAGGTAACTCACTGCAATTTGACGGGGCTCCTCCACCAGCTCTTATTTTTTATGAAACATATGAATTAGTTCTTTATTGCTCTAACCTGTGGCCATCTTAAGTGGTGACATCAAAATTATTTAAATGAAGCACATTAAAATATCCAAGCGGTGTTCCTAAACCTCAGGTGATACTTTGCTCTATCAACTTAAACTGTTAAATATGGTGCCTTTATGGATTACATTACTCAGTAGCTAATGTTGTAGCATTTCTAGGTCACTGTGGTGGTGTAGCTATCCCAGCTCTTTGAGGCAAGGTTCCCTGAACTTCATTAAATCCTAAAGGCCGTTTCTGAACTTCCCAACCTTCAAGGATTTTGTGGAAGAGATAGGCTTTGGGATTAAATAGCTTTGGCCCAATTATTTGTGCAATTATTATCTTCTTATTTGTATAGTTATCTTTTGTTTTTAATCTGTAGAATTTACTTATACTCTTGGGTCCTGGATCATCTTTTATCATAAACAACTGTTAATATATGATTTTTAAAAAATATTAAGTATCAAAATATATTTTGTAATATTTTGTTTTCAAATGTGTGTCCATTATGCACAGATATAATTTCCATATGAATCAGAAGAAGAATCACTGTAAAGACTAATACTTTCCCAACTACCAATCTTGTATTGAGACTATTAGGTTGAACTTCCATGTGGTCATGTGATATCTGGGGAAATTATTTTAGTTGATATTTGTGGATTTTTTTAGTGAGCAAAGTAGCATTTGGGTTTATTAGCCAGAAAATTTTGCGTGTAGAATACTGTTTCAAATTGCAAATACTAAACCAACTCCCAATTTTTTCCTATGATAGCAGCTGTAAAAAAAGTACTTTGTTTACTTTGAATTGAAGTGGTTCATATTGAACGTAGCTTTTCACTGAAAGTTGAGCCTTGATAAAATTCTTAGGCGTGTGTGTTTTCTAAGCTATTGCAGATCCCACCCCCCCGCTAGACTAATAAGTGGAGACGAGCATTTTTCAAGCAAGAAGTGCCTGGCTTGGTTTTATGAGTATGCAGGTAATGAAATTAATATAAGAAGATATCACTCACATGCTTGAAACATTTGTTTGGTTCATTCATTTAACAAATTATTTATTGCAGGCCTGCTTTGTGTCAGTGCTGTGTCCTGGGATCAGGGTTAATTAAGACTGGGGATTATGGGCAGACTAAGAATTTGGGGCCATGTCAGATGATATTTCTTTAAAAGTATAATGAGGTATATAGTTAATGGGGGGGGTGAGACACATTTACTATTGATACAGTTTGTAAACAGATACATTTATTGGTTTATGTCCATTAGCTAAAGTAGAGTTAATATTGTGGAAAACACAAAGTATGTAACAAAACATTTTATGCTTTACATAGTTCTTATTTTTCTTTTCCATATTCTATTGAAATTTTTCTGAACCCAAACTGACATTTTCTGAAACTGGGGAGGCTTAGTAAAAGATGTAAGATTCAGATCTGTTATTATACAACACATCTGCCCCTTAAACATTGTGATGTTTAGCTCTGTTCAGTTCTACTAGAAATGTGATAAGAAAGTGAACAGACTGATATTAGTACAGTGTGATAAATGCTGTATTAGGAAGGTGTTCTGTGGTAGTTATAGGAGGAAACTGGACTTCTGAGGGGCACTCACTGAAGCCTAGGTGAAAATGGAGGATGCTCTAGGCCTGGGATGGGGCTGTAGCCTGGGGGTGAAAGTCAGAACCCCCAGGGAGACTCACAGTGAGGCATATAGGGAAGAATACTTGTTTCCTGTTTATTCCTAACTTTGTCATAAGCATGTATGAAAACATTTTTTCCCCCCTCAGAATGGTTTTGGTCTTTTGGAATTAATGGTTTTACAGCTTCTCCCTCCTTTTATCACTATCATTCTGTTTAAAATAAAACAGAAGTGTAGTGTCTGTGCCATCACTCTCATGTTTACTGCTGGTCAGTTAATGTCTACAGTATACTCTGGACTTGAGGTATAAGTTTAAGCTAACTGTATGGAAAATAAGACTGTTGATGGGGGACCGCAGCTTCACTGTTGAATCAGCTGAGGGATCCCCAAAGTATAATTTAAAAATTGTTTGGTAACAGAACAGATTCTTTCTAGACCAGAAAAACTGCTATTACTGGCATCCCAAGACAATGTCTAACCCAAATTAAATGAAGGAGTTTATTTCTTACTGACCTCCATTTAAATGTTGACCCATTATTCAAAATGCCAGCTATACTGGAATTCATGATATAGAATCAAAAGGTCACTCATCTTATTTCACTTACAAAGAAATACCATAAAATTAGTCCATTTTTTTTCTTTCATGTCCATTTTTTCTTCTTAAGTTTCCTTTTATAAAAAAATATTAGTAAATGTACTTGAGGGTAGTTTACATTATGTCATTTACTGAATGACTCATTCAGTAAATATTGAGCATTTGCTGTGGGTCAGGTGCTGATAAGTGCCAGGGATATAGTTATGAACAAGTCAGACAGGGTCCCTGCCCTTAAGGGACTTGCCTTCTAGTGGGGAAGAGAGTAAATAGCTAAGGAGGCAAGACAGTTAAAGATTGTGGGGTGCTATAAATAAAAATATGGTCAGGTGTAGGGATAGAAAGTAGGAAGTTTGGATGGACGTTCAAGTAGGGTGCTTAGGGAAGGCCTCTCTAGTCATTCCTTGGGGGCAGAGACTAAACCTAAGAAGGAACCAGTCATTTACCAAACAGACAGTAACTGTTCTGTCTTAAAATGGGGATATCCTATATTAATATGGAGACAATATTGCGCTTCCTGAGAAGAATACATGTAAAGCGCTTCTCACAGTATCCAGAATGTAGTTAGAACTCAATAAATGTAAGCAATTATTAAAAGGGTAAATAGCATTATAACATTAGATTTACTGGTTGTGTAATTTTACAGTTCTGTTGCAGAATTAATAGGACAGCTGTGAAGCTCATGTTGAACGTGCTGTGTCATTCATTGAGCATATTTTTTTCCCCTGAGTATCTGCTATGCCTGGCATGCTTTTAGACTCTGCAGATATTCCTGGGAACATTTTATGGTTATAAACAAAATGGACTCTTTGCTTTTACTTTTAAAAATATTTTACTACTAATTTTGTTAATAAAATATCATAGGTGGTGTGCGTTAAGCTTGACGGTTTTCTCTTTCAACAAGACCTCTCGAGTGATACTTACATTAGCAAGGACTCAGTAATACAGGGGGCCTGTTACTGGACAAAATCATGGAGATTGAAAAGGTACTTTTAAAATCTTACAAAGAACCCCAAAATCAGGAAAGAATTGCTAACTTCTAATAAAGTTCTACCAGCTAGTAGAGTGAACTCCATCATTCCCATATCTTCTTAAGTTTAGTAGCAACTTTTTGCCTGAAAGAGTTAAATTCAGTTCCAGAGTAGATTTATTGGAAGACTATATTTCCATAAGTAAGAGAAACGTTATAATGCGGTCCAGGAAAAGAACATTGGTATTGACCTTGTTTTAGAGTTAGATTTGTTATTATTTGCATTCCTTTGGGAAAGTCACTTAGTATTTACGGGAACATCTTGTGTATGTCTTCTGTAACTCCCTATAACATAATTGGTTTCTCATCTGTTGTTAACCACTAACTAGTCCCCCAGTTGACTATTTCATGATGGTAACTGATCATCTTGACATGACTCTTCAGCTCTCTCTACTGATTCCTAATGATGTAGATTTGAGGGCAAGTTAGTTTTCTTTTTCATAGGAATAATTTGTTTTTTTCCATTACATTTTTAATCTAATTTTCACTTTCAACCAAGCCATATATAAAGATACATATTCAGTTATATTTTTAACAGCTTTATTGTATATGTATGCTTTTAAAGTTACATAATTAACACATTCTCATAAATTCTCCAAATATATATTAGGAAGTGAAAGTGTCCTGTAATTACCACCCCTCTCACCTTTTAACACCTCACTGCATAAATAACTGCAGTATTTATTTAAACCAGAAAATTAAATAAGGCTTTTGGTTTCAGACCATGTTTTAATGTCATCTTAGCAGCCTGGATCTCATCTGAAGTAGCAAGAATATATTAGTCCACATACTGGTTGGCTGTATTCTGTGGAAAAACACACACACACACACATACACACACAAAACCCTATAGGGTGTTGGTTTCATGCTGTGCTTGTGAACTAATCGGGTGGTATACAATGCCACCTGAGTAGCCATGGTCTAGTCTGTGATTTATGAAGCTCCAAAATTTTTATAAGCCCTTAAGAAAGGAAAACAAGATTTGTTTTGGCCACTTTAATATTTCCAGACTTTTCAAAAATCAAATGTGATAACATAGTTCTATTGTACTTAATAATTGTTTTAAATGATTGTTTCAGACTTTTTAGATTTTATTTATTAGCAAGAGATAATAATGGGAACATGCCAGTGGGGGAGGGGCAGAGGGAGAGGGAGAGGGAAGACTCCCTGCTGAGCAGGGAGCCAGACATGGGGCTCCATCTCAGGACCCTGAAATCATGACCTGAGCTGAAGGCAGACGCCCACCGACTCGCCCACCAGTTTCCGTCTTTTTTTTTTTTTTCAAGTGAGATATGACATTAGTTATGAAACTTCTATTAAAATACATAGTTACACATTTTTTTCTTGTGATAAAACTTTTAAGATCTACTTTCTTAGCAACTTTCAGATACAATGATACAGTATTATTAACTGTGGTCATCATGTGGTACATTACATTCCAGGATTTATATATTTTATAACTAGAAGTTTGTACCTTATGACCACCCTTCACCCATTTTTTCCTACTCCCCATCCCTGCCTCTGGCAACCACCAATCTGTTCTCTGTATTTATGAGCTTGGGTTTTTTTTTGCGTGTTTGTTTGTATATTCCACATATACGTTACAATTGTATGTTATTTGCCACTGACTTTTTTAGCTTAGCAGAATGCTCTCAGAGTCCATTCGTGGTGTCTCAAATTTGTTGTAATCTTACCGAGTTAGGAAAGAAGACCTAGCAATGATGCAATTACTGTCTTTGGGAATCTGATAACATAAAATATGAGAATTGGTGTATTGACTTATATTTAGTGTTAAGGGAGAAAGATAAGAAACAAGCTGAGTATCACTAATTTTTGGACAAGCTAATTGAGGGATTAAACTTCTGTTTCTGGGCAGCCCTGGTGGCCCAGCGGTTTAGCACCGCCTTCAGCCCAGGGTGTGATCCTGGAGACCCGGGATTGAGTCCCACGTCGGGCTCCCTGCATGGAGCCTGCTTCTCCCTCTGCCTGTGTCTCTGCCTCTCTCTCCCTCTCTGTGTCTGTCATGAATAAATAAATAAAATATTTTAAGAAAATAATAAACTTCTGTTTCTGTATTAAGGTGGAATATCTAATGCTTTACTATCTATTTTAGATCCAAGGTGACAAGGAAAATAGTAATTTCTCTGAGTTATTATTTTCAAAATGTGTGTATCTTTTTAAAGTATTAAATTTTATTTGGTTGTATTCACAAGGGTAATAAATGACCTATGTTTTAGCAAGAAAACGAGTATTCTCTGATTACTGTCTTGAATCGTGGGCTGTTCGTACACATTCTAGTAAAATTTCTTCTGGTTCTTTGTATTTATGCATTGCCAAAAATTTTCTTCAGAGAAGGCTCTCCGTAAATGTGTTTTTTTTTTTTTTAAGGATGGGTTCAAGTTACTGTACAAACAAGTGACTGATATGAATGCTACTTCATTTTTTTCCCTTAATTTCATTTTGTAATGTGTGTAAAGAATATTTCAGAAATTTTACATTTTAAGTCATATATCAAATATTTATACCTTTATAAAAAATGTGTCAAAATTCAGATTTAGTTATTTAAAAAAATTTTATGGTGTGTTCATAGATGCCTTTAGTGCAATAGCTTATGTTTTATGTTGATAATAATATAACAATAAAATATGTAAATTATTTTTGTCTTTGAAGGTCCTGATGAAGTTGTAGGGCCAGAAGGAATGGAAAAATTTTGTGAAGACATTGGTGTTGAACCTGAAAATGTATGTTTTATTTCTAAGAATGGAGTATAAGTGGGGTATAGCATATTTACATATTTCTAAAAATCGAGACACTTTAATCTTATATCAGAATTTTGTTTCTTCATGTTTAATACTGTAAATTGTCATTTTCAGTATTTTTAACCAATTTAAGTTGGGCACATGTTCTCTTTCTTGATACAAATGTTATTTGTAATAGAGTGAGAGAGATTCTACCTTCAGAAACTTAGAGCTTTATACTTTTAAGAAATTGGCCCATCTAAATTTCTTTAGAGTTAATAATGCCAGAGGTTGTACTCTTTAATAGTTGGAAGATGGAAATAGTTATATAAAAATGCTCTCCATGATAAATACAGACATGATTATCTCTGCTGACTTTTCCCCTATCCTTTATGTTCTGTTCTTTCCAGATTATTATGTTAGTTTTAGCGTGGAAATTGGAGGCTGAAAGCATGGGATTTTTTACCAAGGAAGAATGGTTAAAGGGGATGACTTCATTACAGTAAGACATTTTTTTAAAAAACAAATTTGATGGCCTATTTGAAGATCTTAATTGATATTTTGTGCTTCGTAATTTTTAGGAGTAAGATTTCACCTTAAAATAATCAAATTGGTTTGATCTATAACAGTTAGGGATTGACAAAATTTATATTGTGGTCTTGGCAGAATGAATAGTTACCCCATTTTTCATAATCTCGAATAATCTTTGTACGGTCTTACAAAGATTATTGACTTGAGTGAATTAGAGGTCTGTGATCAAAGTGATTTGTTCACAGATTGAGCAAATGATTTCTTTCTCTGAATACAGAGTTCTACTGTGTAAGGAGTTTGTTCTTTGGGCAGACCTAAGCTCTGGGGCCTCTTCTCTTCAATTTTATGCTTCATTTTGAAAAGGTATTTGAAGATAGAGTTACATGGCACTTCTTTTTTATTTCTTTTTTGCCAAATGAATCTTACAAAGAACAAAAGCAGAAAGGTTGTATGGCAGCCCTGCAACCCTTAGCCATGTTCTAGTTAATACTTTCAGATGCTGCCTTTGAAACTCTGATAAGTTACAGAATTGCTCCTTTACAAAAATAATTTGGTTTTTACTTTCCGTAGTAAAGTGTGCTTAGTTTCAGAATCAGTTAGTAATTATGTATTATTTTTAAATTATGTTCCTAATGTTCTGCAGGATGTTACTAATTACCAAGATTCTAAAATAGAGGAAGCATTAATTTATAATACTTTTGAGCTGAAACCTGGGGGTCAATTAGCCATGTGGTTTCCTGTTGTGGTTATGCTTTTATTAACACATTTAGCTATTCTTTACTACTTGTTTGCATGTCCTTACAGTTCAGAATACCTCAAGATATTTTTTTAAGTGCGTCTGTTCATATGGAACTTGAATTATTATATTTGAATTTTCAGCATGTAATGCTTTGTAATTCTCCTTTTTAACCAGAATTAACATAATAGATATTTTAAATAGATTCACATAAAAACTTTTGCTTATATGAGCCAAATTATAATTTCTAGAATAGAACATAAAATCAACCCTGTCATTTCAGTCATTTTTTATAGGTGAGATAAGGGGTCAGACTCAGAGGTGAAGAAAATGTTTACCCAGGTTCACATAGCTATTTAGTGGCTGAACTAGGACCTAAAATTTATATTTCCAGATTACCAGTCTAGCACACTGTACTTCCTGTTATTTTTCTTTATATATGTTAGCAATCTTTATAAAATAAAGGACTATTATTAACTTTTTGAATCATAGTATTTATAACCTAACCAGGCTTGAATTCTGTCATTCATCTAGGTGTCATAACATCCCAAATTAAAATGATAATTGATTCTGAAATTCTTTGGAAATATCCAACCCTCAGTTAGCTTTTTAGAGAATGATAAAATTTACAGACAAGTATGCAAAGAATATAAACTAGTTTTCATAAACAGCTTTGTACGTTTTATTAAAATGTATATCTGTTGTAACATGGCTTATTCATTGTAAGACATTTTATTTGGCACTATAATTGCTTTTTTGTACTGCTGCTGAATTTTTTGTATACTGCTTTTTTGAACATCCCAGCTAACAAGTGTGTGTGAATTTTTTTTTAAAGATTTTATTTATTTATTTGACAGCGTGTGCACAAGCAGGGGGAGCAGCAGGCAGGAGGGGGAGGGAAAGGGAGAAGCTGGCTTCCTGCCTAGTGGGCAGCCCCACGTGGAGCTCATCACAGGATCCTGGGATCATGACCTAAGCTGAAGGCAGACCTTAACCGACTGAGTCACCCAGGCACCCCACAAAGTTTATTATTTGTTTTTGCATAACTTGATGTAATATACAGAGCCTTTGTATAACAGAAATGTGTGAACACACGCATTTCTAATAATTACTCTTGATAATTAGCATATGGCTTTGGGTAAAAGAATAGAAATTGACTTAACCCTTGAACATGTATTTTTTTTATTAGCACTTCTTTTCTATGGGAAGTTCACAAGCTATGCAACATAAAAACAGTTACTGAACACTTAAAATTGACTCAAGTTTCTGTTTCATTCACTTATTACCCCCGCCCCTCTGCTGTACTCTATGCTGTAAAGCCTTGAAGTTGCTCAAATGAGTCAAGTGCTCTTGACTGAGAAAATAGTTGTTTTTTTTTCCCTATGAGCTAGATTGAAGTATCTTTTATTAGTAAGTCTTAACTAGTCCTTGAATTTTCTTGTAAGAAACTTGCAAAGTCTGTAGAAGTTTAATATTTAAAGCAGGAAAGACAGAAGAATCTATGTAAGTTTTAAGTTTTTATTTATAGTTGCCTGGTATACTAGGTTTTATTTAATTCACAGTCATAAAATGTAAAACTTCACAGACTTGATTCCCTTCATAGATTTTTTTTTCATATTTCTAGGATTTGACTTAACCTGGGCATAGTTTTTTGATGGTCCCTAAATTGTCTTAATATAGTTATCATTGTTTCAAATTAATTAATTTTAACCCTTAGAAAACTTTAGAGCTTTGTTAAAGAATAGAAACAGGTATTAGAGCATAGACTGTGCTCAAGGAAGGTAGACTATAACAGCCATGATTAAATAAATCTGTAATTGTGTAGACTAGACTACTTCTGTACTTCGTTTATTTTAAGGCTGTTTATACATACAGACTTTTGGTAACTGAATTGCCTTTCTGTTTTGTGTGGAAGAATTTGTGGGTGTGAGATTGTGTATAATTAGACTAGAATGGCCATTTTGTAGGTTTCAGAGGATGCAGTTGCGCATCCTTTCCGGGGATTCTCTTCTGTGTACTTCCCATCATTGTTCAGTAACCACCAGGTTGCCCCACAGGTTGGGTTTGATCTGTAGACACTTGTGGTAAACACCTCTGTTATGTCAGGTGTGTGCCACTTCCCTGTGACCACAGTGAAGCATAAGGTAGCTCTGCCCTTTGGTGAAGATGCTGAGAGGGCAGGAAAGCCCTGTGGTGCTATAACCGTACATCCAGGTGGAACATGACACGTGCTCAAGTATGGAAGCACAGCTGCTAATGAGATCAATTTAGGCTATGGAGACAGGAAAATCTGTATACATGGATCATCATATGAACTGGGCCTTGTGAATGATCAGGATTTTGATGGTTAAGGATATAGGAAATACTATTTCTAAAAAGGAAATCGTGAGCAGAGCCTTGGGAAAGGAAAACGTGTGTGTGAAGGAAGTGGTCTGATTGGTTAAAATCAAAAGTACATAAAATAGGTTTGAATCCCAGATGGTAGGGATAATAGCTACATTATGGAGGGCCTAGGCTAACATGTGGAGGGAGCTTAAACCCTCCCTTACAGACTGGGAAACCATCAGATAGTGTGTAGTTGATCTGATGCTCATAGACTCTTATGAGCACCTTAGAAAAACTAGACCTTATCCCTGTTATGATGCACATACGCTGCTATACACAACACATTCCATGTGGATCTTCCTTGTATCTGTGGATGCAAGACTCCAGGGGTACTTATGTTTTTGTTTGGGCATGCCTTACTGGCTGGAGTGGAGAACTTTTCTCACATCTGCTAGCTGATGGTGGTGTTGGAGCAAGAGGGAAATACCATGTTGGTGGAGAAAACAGCATAGAACTTTGAAGACTGTACTTTGATTATGATCATGAAAAAAGGAGGCAGGAGGGAGCACCTGCCAGGAATGGCAGCAATTACACTGCCTCTCAGTACATTACAAGTTGTATTGAGCCCTGGACTGTGAAGATTCAAGACAGTGGTCTGGCTTGACTTGACTTGGTTTAGGTGAGAGAGGAATGGGGAACATTTATCTGATTGTTCGGTGAGGATAGAAGAGTGTGATGGATGGGGTGCTGTGATGTGTGGCTGTCATTCATGTAGCATTTGGGGCCCAACTAGTAATTGCTGTTAGCATTCTTTCCCTCTGCTCTTAGTGACAACTTCAAATGCTCTTCTCCTCATTTCCAGGTGTCCGCAGAAATGTGCTGCTTGGGTCAGTAGACCTTATTTGAGGAAGTTCTAGATACAGAATTCTGAATCAGATTCTTCTGTTGTGGATCATCAGTCTGTCCAACATACTTAATGAGACTTCTCTAAGGAAGAGAATCTCACTTAGATTTAATACATGAATGGTAATATTTTCTCATTTTAGAGGTCTTTAAAGAGGCAGAAATGTAAACGCCTCCTTTGCTAATCAAATATATAGCAATACTCAGGAAATTAATGTCCAAGGCCTACAGTTGAAATTTAAATCCATTTGTATTCATTCTAACCACAGTGGCCGTGGAGAATCCTATCCTATAGTAACAGTGTCTCTAAAGTCTGTGGGGTTTTATTTCGTTGTTATTAAAAAAAACTCTTTCTTGGTTTCCATGACATACTAGTCTTGTAATGTATTAGTGATGACAGCTTGGGTATGCTCATTGGTTTTTCTGTGTCCCTTCACAGTCTTTATGATATAGGTAATAAACGTGGAAGTTTGTACTCTGTTTTTCATTCTTCTCCAAGAAGAAAACATCACATGTTTGTTCTGTTAGATTCTTTCTCTGCTCAAGATTGAGCTAGACCATTAGAATTGCTATGAAATAGTGTGGACAGAGTTACCAGGGGGAAGGTGATTTTTAAGCCGTTTGCCTCAAAAGGAGCATCTCAAGCTAAGAACTGTTCGAATCTTTTAACTCGTGTATTCTCCTTTAACCTCATGGTTGTCTGTTACTGTTTCTGTCGTGTTAAAATGAGGAGAGGAGGCTGGAGAGAGTCCCTGAAGCCACCAGGCTGCAAATGGAGAAGTTAGAATTTAACCTGGTCTCTCCCTGTTTGACTTGAAACTTTGTTCTTTGCTTTCTCTCTGTCCTAAGCTTATTGAAATCATATCCTAAATAATGTTGTTGTTCTGTGTACCTGTGGAATGTAAAATATTTGGAAAAGGTGATTTCTTGGATTCTTTTTCCTTAGTGACTTGTAAGCCACCACTTGAACACTTTATAATTTCGTTGAAACTACAATTTCCCACTAA